CATCATTGTTTGCGTGGAACACAATTCCATGAGTCTTGGAACCCACCAGATACCTTAACACTCTCTTGGCTGCGCCAATGTGTTGTTGTGTTGGGCTTTGCACGTATCTACTAAGCTGCCCGACCACATACGCAAGATCTGGCCTCGTACATGTTGCCAGATACATCAATGAGCCAATTAGCTCACGATATGGAAATTCTTTGCCATTGTCAGGTATGCGTTTGGCCCTCGCGGTATCCGTATCGTTTACAGCAAGTCGTATGTTTGTTTCCATCGGAATTCTGCTAGCGTGCGCATCTCCAAAGTTAAAACGATTGATAACGTCTTCGCAGTATTTCGTCTGATGAATTTTAATCGCATCATCGCTTCTCTCTACTTGAACACCCAAATAAGTGCTAAGTAGACCTTGATCCTTCATTCCATAGACCTCGTCCAGACTCCGAAACATTTTCGTCTTGAATAATTCATTCTTGGTTGCACACAGAATGTCATCCACGTAGAGTAGTGCCAATACGAACTTAGAACCTGAATCGTAGTAATACAGACACGGTTCTGTAGTGCAACGCTTAAACCCATACCGTAAAAACCACGCATTTACTTCGGTGTTCCACTCTCGACCAGACTGTTTAAGACCATACAGTGCCTTGTGAACAACATATACCATGTCGTCAGTTTCAGAAGGATATCCATCTAGAAAGTCCAAGTACTGCTTGATCCCCAAGGGTGCATTCAGGTAGGCCGTGTTGATATCACCCTGGTAAATGGTCAAGTCCATCAATAGGCAAATGGCCACGAACATCCTGAAAGTCGCCATACGTGCTACAGGACTGAAGGTTTCTCCATAGTCAATTCCTGGACGTTGTTTGTCACCTCGAGCCACAATTCTTGCTCGAAGACGGATAACGTTGCCTAAGTGGTCCGTTTTAACACTATAGACCCACATTGTCTTGATCGCTTTAGTGTCTTCAGGCATCTCTCGTTTCGAAATTAATGTGATCACTCCCTTGGACTTCATTGCTTCCAATTCTTCGTCCATAGCTGCTTTCCACTGGGTTGCATATTTCGAGCACATCGCCTGACGAAAGTTCTTTGGTGTCCGAATATCACTTGCGCGAGTACCGTACGCTTCGCTTTCAACGTTCTTTGGTGTTCTGAATGCAGCGTTAACCGTGAAATCTTCGCGCTGGTTCAGTATACATTGCTGATCATTCTTTCTCAATATGGGTAGACGTGGAGTGATCTTTGCTCTTTTGTGATCCTCTTTTATTCTTTTGTGCTCTCTACTTCGCCTGACTTCGACATCTCTGGGTCTTCTGTGGCCGATCAGCTGATCATTGGCAATGGTCAACGTCGTGGTGCCGTTCACAGCCTCCAACATGTCACTTGGATCGAATAAAGGATCGAATAAACAATCATAATTGTAGTCACTTGCAGCATAGACAGATTCATTTCGAGTCACTTCAGGGTCTGTTATATGTCCAGTATCAGTGAGCTGTCTCTCTTCACCTGAAGCTGTATCATCATCTGCGTCTGTATCATCATCAGCGTTATCATCGTCAGCTGTTTCCTCGTCATTGTGCGACTCAAGTCCGGATTCCGCATCGTCTTTATCGTCGTCATACATATCCGAGTCATTTGCAACTGCTTTGTTGCTATCTGGAACAGAGTCACAATATTCGGCGCGATAATGTGCTGTAGATTCGCTCTCCTGACCTTCTTCTTTGTCGCTACTGCTCGCACTGAAATATTGTTCGCTGGTTTGTCCTTGTGTCTGGACCACTTCTGGTAAAATACTATTGCGTAGCATGTCATTCCACAAGGTTTGGTCTGCCTCATTTAGAGTGTCGGGATCGGATTCAGCAGTCTCCATATGAATGGTACTGCTATTACAATCCATGCTTGCTACAATGTCAGTCAGATGTGACACCTCGGATTCTTCAGAACTAGAATCATTAAATGCGCCCTCCTCAGCGTATTCACTTAGTGTCTGGAGCCACCGTCTGACTTTTGATGTATATCCACTGTCGAAACGATCCTTATACTTTATAGCCTCATTTATCTTGACATCTGACACATATCCTTTCATGTGCTCTGTTGGGAAGTACACATGACAACCAACAATGTTCTCGTGATATCCAATGAGGAATCCCACTCGGCAATTTATGCTCAGCTTTTTCCGTTTCTCTCTTGGCGTGTGACAATAAGTGAGTGACCCAAACGCCCGGATGTGATGAACGTCCGGTCTCGAACCAAACATCAACTCATACGGAGTGCGTCCTGCCCCTTTGCAATACACTCTGTTTTTGATGTAGGCAGCTGTTACTAATGCATGCAACCAAAATGATTTAGGTAATCCAGACTGGTGCATCATGGTCTTCACCATTCCAATCAATGTCTGGTGTGTGCGCTCAACTAAATTTAGTTGGGACGCTTTGGGGCCGACTCTTGTATGCACTATGCCCCTTTCTTGATACCACTGTGCCATTGTACCATTGCAAAATTCCTGCCCTTTGTCTGTAAGGACTTGCCTCACGAGAGCTCCTTGACTTCGTTGAAAATCTTCACTCAACTGATGAGTAATCACAGCCTCAACCCTCTTGCCAACTTGTCGTTCAGCCCAAGCAATATATTCCTGCATGAATTTGTTGACTTCATTCTCAGACTTAGACTTGAGCATGAAGACACTGACGTAACGTGAGTATCCATCCATAACGACTAGGACGGCGGTGTATGGGGATCCATTGCCTATTCCTGGTATCAGCAAATCGGCAAAAACAATGTCATTAACGTTCGCGATATTTCTATCTAACGCCTTTCGAAATGACTTTCGCCGCTGTTTACCAACATGACAGTCTACACAATCGAATTTCCCACGTCTCTTTAGCATGATACCTTTTGCCAGGACACGATCAACCATCAACCGGATATATTCTGGACACGTGTGTGCCAGTCGTTCATGCCAGACATCGATATCTTCCACACCATCAGTCACTGCAAAGTTAGCAATAACTTGTCGCTTCGTGGTAATGTTTTTCTTGTACTGTGCAGTATTATTTGCATTTTGAGCAGTAAACGTCCATAGGCGGTGCTTCCGATGTGTCCGTATCACCTCGATATCGTCTTTCGTCATAGTAAATATCTTAGCATTCGGGTCCCATGACATGCTGAATCCTTGGTCCATAGCCAAACCAGGCGAAAACAAATTGCATCCAGCTTGAGGGACGTAGAGAACGTCTTCCACGAACACTGTCACCAATCCTTCATCAACAACTGTTGCAAGAATAATCGTACCAAATCCTTCAGCTTTTGCTTTCGCTCCATTGAGTGTGAATCCGGATATCATTGGATTCCAGTCACTGTCTTCCATACTCTGTAGTACAGTAAAGTATTCCTTGGAGGACACTATGTGGGCATTTGTACCCGTGTCGAAATACCAGTTGCTAGAAGTTGAATCCTTTGACGTCAACTTTGTAGCTTCTCCTATCACCACGTCACGCTTATCTGCTCGCACCTTGCGTTGCAATAAAGGCTCGCCCTTCTCTTCCATTTTCGTCTTGCTACCAGAGTTGGCGTACTTTGCGTGAGCACTTTTTCTTCCACGCGACTTCTCTTCATTCATCAATTGTGGACAATTTCTCTTGTAATGGCCTTTACCGCCACAATGATGACACTCAAAATCATGATTCTTGATTTTTCTCGTCTTATCGTCTCTCAAGGTTTGCCTCATGCCACCTCTCGTTCCAGTAGTTGGACCATTTGGCTTCTTCTTGCCTTGAGCGCTCCCGAATGCATAGCTTTCCCAGTCTTTACTGCGCGACTCGGCGGTGAATATCATCTCGCGAACTATCTCAGGCGTATATTTACTCATATTTGAGCTAAATAATACCTTTCTTCTGAGTTCATTATAGCACATCTGCGTCGGGAGACTGCGCAGCATCATGTCCACCATCTGTAAATCATTTACAGGAGAATTCAAGTCCTCGAGCTGGTCTTTGATGTCGAACAAGGTGTACAAATGACTTCTCACGTCACCATTTGGACGCAAATGGGTCCTGTGTAGCTCGCTTTGGAGGCGGTACACTTTCTGCGCTATCATGGCTGAGTTTTGCTTCCCTTCAAAAAGTGAGCAGAGCTCGTGCCACATCTCGGTTCCTGTCTTCTTCGACATCACCTGCTTGGCCAGCTTCACCGACAACGAGCCTTGAATAAGAATCTTCACCTCGGCTTGACTTTTCTTGAACTTGTCCTTCTTGGCTTGATTCCAGGATGCGTCCTCCACAACGCCTCCTGCTGCGATCTCATCGAGTAGGTTGTGCTCGAATGCGTTGAGCATCGCGTGCTTGTAGAAGGTCCAGTCTTCTCCATTCCAATTTACTGGAGTGCCTTGCGATCCCAACTTAATCTCCTTGTGTCTTTTTCTCTTGCCGTCCTCAGAGTCCGATGAGGAATACATGGTATAGTTGTTGTAGTGTAGTCTTGTTTTGCGCTTCTCTTAATAGCAGGTCGTCTTTGGGCTCATAACCCTAATAGAGTATGGATAAGGGAAACAATGGCTACGCACTCACAAACAACTTGTTTACTGGAGGGAAACTTTTGAACTGAGTCTACTCAATGCATGTCTTCATGTCAGGAGGAATCTTCTACGAAACACCTTCCAGATAAAACCTTCCCTGGAAAAGGTATTGTCAACCGCCACCCTTTACTTCATTGTCCACCGTTGACTTGCATCCAGTTTCCAACAAGGGGACTGACAACATCAAGATGTTTACCGCGCCGTTCTACCCGCACAAGTATCGCAGTCATTTAGAGTTGCAGCACGCCAACTCGTGGGCGCTCTACAAGGAAGCGTCGAACGCCGACAAATCGCTGTATTTTCCGAGCAAGATCAAGCCGTCTAACACGCTACATCATCATAGGAGCTCATAGACCAACTGCTGACCAACGACAGCAGCGCTCGCATCGTCAAAACCATTTTTGGCGAACTTTTTATCGCGACGACGATGTGCTTATCGAATTTGACGTCGATGACGATTGTGGACGACGATGTGGCCGACGCGATCGCTAAGCAGTCTGCCAGGCAGTCTGCCAGGGAGAAGACCCATTCTTTGAAGCTGTTTCTAAAGAAGGAGAACGATGCTGATATGCTTTAATGGCCGGCTTTGCAACATCCATTCGTTCGGGCTCCTGATGTTCGATTGCCACATGGCGGGAAACACATTCAACCTGTTCACTAAGTTTCTAGACACGCTTTACCCAAACTGGCGCAGCAAACTGCTAAAGGTTCCGTCGGATGGCGAGAAGACCATGACCGGTCGATGTTTCTGGTCTTGTCACTCGCATCGCAAGTTGCGCAGAAGTCAAGGTGCTGCGTGTGTGGTGCGCGCCGCATCAAATCGAAGTCGCCGTCAAGTCGGCAGCTGACAGCATCAACAACGGCGCCTTTGTAACGAGAGTTTGCCCGTTGTCCGTCTGCCTGCTTGCTCAGAACAACTTGATCATCACGACAGGCGTCAAGTGTCCAAAGAAGACAAACCAGTGGGATCATTTCGGTCGAGTCCTCAACTTCACAAAAAGTATCGCCGGCAGGTCATAGCACATCAGGTAAAAGCACCTTGATAACCTTCCAGCGCCCGAATGGTGGCTCGTGACCTACGCAGTGGCACCTTCAGCCGATGAGATCAACATCAATTTCACCAACCTGCAGAGCCTGTCGCTTCTGATAGCGCAGCAAAAGGAGTTCATCAGTGCATTGATAGGCACTCACACTACCCTGTTCTCCGTCAATGTCCGTCCATCCGGATGAGCGTGACAAGGACGGCGAGATTGATAATTTATCGGTCGACTCTATGGGTATCGACGTCGCCAGCATCGAACACCACATTCGTGACCAGATATGCTGCTGTCGGTAACTTTGATAGACTCGAAGCCGAAGATCAGAAGGCGGTCACAAAAGAGATCGTGACGTACGCTGCCACGCTGGTCACGTATCTCATGACCGTCAAGCTGAGCGTAAAAAAACACCCTGACGCTAGAAAGCGATGCACCACCTGTCATGTCTCCGCAATTTGTTGAGCTGCATCCTTCCAAGTTAATTAAGGAAGTTTTGAACACGTAACGCATCCGCCCCAACAATTTCTGGTTGCCTGAACAAGTTGAGGTGCTCGAGGCCGACCATCGAGACCTTGTCTAGACGAATGGCGGCGAAGCCACCGTCCGGGAGGAGATTAACAAGCATGAAGCGCACACGCTGTTCGATGACAACTGGGACTGTGCTCCTCTATCCAAGCGAGTTTGCGATTTTTGGGGTGGCCTCGCAACTATTTTTCCAACACGACATCCGTCAAAAGAGACTTCTCGGTCCTTGAATGGGAACTAGACGAGCGCTACACCGCCCTCATGCACATGTCCTTGGCAGGCAATTGTTAGGCTGAGCAACGCACCATTCTGAACCATCTATGGGCCCAGTAAACATGCACAATGTACACCGGCCCGCTGTCTCAAGTCATTCTACAGTCAAGGCACCTTTTATGGACTCGTATTCAAATTACTGGCAGCAATGTTCGCACAAAATCTCTTTTTAATATATTTTGTAGGAATCTACAATACTGTGAGGTCTTCCGTACACACAACGGCGGGATATCATGTCGGCTATTTGATTGCCTTGTAATAAAAATGCAAATTTTGCGGAATGACTCCACGACGATTGCTAGACAGTAACAGTCGCGTCGATGACGATTTTGAATGCGATGCAATGATTTGGCAGTCCTGAGGGACAACCTTGTACGGGCATTTTACCCGATGCAAAAAAAGGAACTAATTATGCAGATGAATGTAACGGGGAACGCCTAATCCAGCCATCTAGATAAATTTTGAACTACTGACAGTGCATGTAACGAGGCACCCTAAAGCTTGTACTGGTGACAGTACAAGCTACTTATTCTGATGACAGAATATGGCGGTGCCTCGTAACTTCACGTACACTCGTACGTGCAGAGGAAGAAGGTAAGAACAAGCGAGTACTTAGTTCAAGTAAAAAGTAGAACTGTATTTGTAATAGTTAATGTCTGTTAACAAACCACTGTTTATCCTCATCTAACTATGTCTAAATTCAAATGTGCATATCAACTATCTGCTCACCACTCATTGCGTGCGTCTGTCGTGGCGCGTCTTCGTTGGTCGATATAATGGCATATATCAACCAATTAGGAACTACTCGTAAGTGCTACAGAATATTTGTCCTTATGACAAAATTCTGAGAATATGACTCTTATAGTTATATTCTAATAACAATTTCTTATAAATTGTTATGTAACGATTCACCCCGTTACATCACCCCCCCCTTAACCATCAGTCACTTTAGTGACTGATTGACTAAATGGGTACTCGTCCCAAATCAGTTAGGACAGGGTTTGCACTTGTTGGTCCGAGTCCACTTTCCAACATTTCATCGCATGGTAAACAAGCCCATGCGATGCGCGAGCAAGGCCGCCGAGAGCGCGTCTGCACGTCTCTGTGCGGACGCCGAAGCAAAAACCACAGCGACTGATGTCTCATCGGTTGCTGAAGCGACTCAGCCTGTGTCACTTGGTGATGCAGGTGCTGGTCATGAAGACACTCATGTCTTCACAGAGTATAAGCTCGGTGTCTCATACTCTCCTGATACGGAAGACGGATCCGTATCGACGGCGATCGAATCTAAGCCGCCTGCCAAGCGTGGCATGGACGGTGCTTTGCGTCGCAGCATCTTTGGTTCATCTGATGAATCAGATGAACCATCGCCGAAGCGAAGGTGCTCGAGGTCGCGAGACTCGGGCGCTAACAGTGGTGTCGGTTCTCCTATTGAACCCACTTCGCAACGAGGTGCCAGTACTTCTGTCGGCACATCGCAGGAAGAGCGGGACCGCAATGTGTTGCGTCTCGCTCCTGAGAAGAACGCATGGATGCCTCCAAAATCCGTCATGGATCACTTGTCGGCGACGACGAGTGATCGTTATCGAACACGATTGTTCGATTCGTCAAGGATCCATCACCTTGACCCCAGCGCGAAAGACTATAGCGCTGAACATGAATTCTTCATCGATGCTTTCTTTAGACATCGATGGTACAGTGGGAATCACAAACGTGATGGTCCCTCACTGCTTCAAGCGTGGAACGCCTACATCCATAACCTCGAGGATGTAGGTCGTGACGTTTGGAACGACAAACTTATCAAAGCTCGTGATAAGTTTGAGAACAGAACTTCGACAGGTGAACACTATAAGCTGCATCGTCTGTCTAAGGAGGGTATGTTACCCTGTCTCTCCTAGGGAGACCCGTGCCCACACTGTGTGAACAACTCTGCACGAGCACCTAAGGAGGCTTACCTCCTTACCAGCCCGTGGTGGCGCGTACGTGTCTCTACTGAGATGTACGAAGGGATTGACAACCTGAAATCCCTTTACGACCGTGCCGGAAAGACTTTCTCCGGCGGTCCTTCTGCGGCACAGGATATGCCGCGTTGTACTGCTCAACCAGACCCAGTACGTCAACCATCAGTTGGGAGCGGGGCTCCCACGAATCCCAGGACGGGGGATAGCCGCGCCACCGGACGAGATAACTCGTCCGACGTCCGTTCACGTCGCGGTGGTTCAACAGCTGCTCAACTAGATAGCGCTGGCCACCGCGAGAGTCCTCTGATGGAGGTGGAGGAGGAGGAAAGACGCTCTCCACACGATCGTGGGGGTCCGTGTGTTCCCGAGAGCTTCTTTGATCGCGTAACGCAAGTGTTACGCGACGATCTCGAACATGAGCGGAATAGGCGTCCCCAACTGGCGGACACTGTCTGGAAGCATCGAGCTGAGTTTGCCTTTGCTCAGCTTGAGAACGATAGAGCTTTGGCGTCTCTGCGTGACGAGCTAAGGTTAGCTCGTGGGGATGTTGACCGGTCTCGGGCTGAGATAGCTGCTCTTCAGACCCTTGTTGATGCCCACCATCGGGAGCACAAGGCTCTCTGCGAGATGCTTGAGTGCAAGGGCGTTCTTCATCGGAAGAAGCAGCGTACTGATGGTACGGCTTAAGCCGACCAACGTAAAACGTGGGATGCGTTCGCACCTTACGTGGTAACTCGATCGTGTATGCATTGCCTAGGCGGTGCAATACACGAAAAGGGCCAATGTACTTGGGTAGTAGTTTACTGCTACCCAAGTTAGTCACTACATGCTTTGGTAGATTAACCGTAGACAGTAGTACTAAGTCACCTTTATTGAATAAAAGAGTGTTTGCCCTTCCATTCTTGTCAGCGTTTTGCTTTTGCTTATCCACCGCTTCGGCGATGGAGTCTTGCACAAAACGGACTACCGTTTCACGAGCCAGTATGAACTCATCTGATGACTCGTTAGCTTCAGTGTGCTGTGAGCGCACTGCAGCAACAACAGCCTTTTCTTCAGTGAGGGCTTCCGCACTCTCACTGGGATCATCTTCTTCGATATCGATGTTATCGATATCGGCATCAAACGCAATGACTTCTTCGTCAGAGCGTGATGAGCGTGAACCAAATCGGTTTTTGCTCGCGCGAGTCCCTCCCCCCCTTAAACCAGAGTTACACTCTAGTAAGGTGGGTACAGGCGGATGACGTAAGCCATTCACGTAAAACGGTGTATGTGTCGTGGACGCATCCACCGAGTTGTTAATGGCAAACTCTACCATTGGCAAAAACTCACTCCAACTCTTAAAGGAGTGTACGCATCCTCGAAGTATCTCTTCAAGGACACGATTGGCACGTTCCGTCTGACCATCTGACTCTTGATGATCAGATGTCGACATCTTCAAGCGCGTTCCGAGTGATTTGAACACGGAACGCCAGAAATCAGCAGTGAATCGTGGATCTCTGTCTGATACGAGTTCACGGGGCAACCCATGAAGTCGGAAGATGGTGTCAATAACGACACAAGCACAGCCACTTGCCGTGATTGTCTCTGGTACAGCCACAAGGTGTACCATTTTGCTGAATCTGTCCACAAATACGAGAATACCCGTATTCCCGCGTGCGTCTTTGGGTAACCCGAAGACGAAATCTATTGAGATGGATTCCAAGCACTCAGCCGGAACCGGTAGAGGCTGTAAAGGTGCACGCAGTGAAGGACTTGACTTCACTCGTTAGCAGACTTCGCAT